CCTGACTTTTTGAAAATGATCATGGCAAAGAAAGGTGAGAACATTATTACATTTGTAAATGAATCTCATTATGTTGGTTACTCTAGATCCACATGGTGGATTGATTCTGGAGCAACTATTCATGCTTGTAATTGTTTAAAGGCATTCCGTTCGACGAGGACTACGCAAAGAAGAGAAAGCACCATTAGAGTTGCCAATGGAGTTGAAGAAAAAGTTGAAGCTGTTGGAGATTTTCCTCTAGAGCTCGCGAATGGCTTCATACTTTTACTTCGAGATGTCTTTTATGTTCCTTCTTTGCAAAGAAACTTAATAAGTGTATCAAAGTTGGATTTTGATGGATATGATTGCCGCTTTGGAAGTGGCAAATGTGAACTATGGCATAATAATGCATGTATTGGTCTTGCTGTGTTGCGAGACGAGCTTTATTTGTTATCTCTTTCTGAGAATGTGAATGTTGTGTCCTCGTTGACAAAAGAAAACAAGAAAAGAAAGTGAACTCCCGATGTCTCATCGAAATTATGGCACTGTCGTTTGGGCCATATTTCGAGGGGGAGAATTGAGAGACTAGTTAAGAATGAAATTCTTCCTCCATTGGAGTTCTCAGACTTAGAACAATGCATAGAATGCATTAAAGGAAAATTTGTAAAGAGCATCAAAAAGGGTGCAAAACGAAGCGCAGGAATTTTAGAGATCATTCATACAGATATTTGTGGTCCATTTCCTGTGAAAAGTGTGGATGGCTATGACTCGTTCATAACATTCACAGATGATTACTCCCGCTATGGTTATATTTATCCAATTAAAGAGCGATCAGAAGCATTGGATAAATTTAAGATATTCAAAGCTGAAGTTGAAAATCAGCATGATATAAAGATTAAAGTAGTAAGATCTGACCGTGGGGGGGAGTACTATGGTCGACATACGCCTTATGGGCAAGTCCCTGGACCTTTTGCAAGGTTCTTGCTAGAGAATGGAATAGTAGCCCAGTATTCAACACCGGGCGAACCTCAACAGAATGGGGTAGCTGAAAGGCGCAACCGTACCCTCATGGATATGGTGCGCAGCATGATGAGCTACTCCACACTACCACTCGGTTTATGGATGGAGGCGTTAAAAACCGCCATTCATATTCTCAACAGAGTTCCAAGCAAATCGGTGCCCAAAACACCGTATGAGCTATGGACAGGAAGAGTACCCTCGCTAACTCACCTCCGTGTGTGGGGGAGTCCTGCAGAGGCCAAAGTATTTAACCCAAATATTGGGAAGTTGGACCCCAAAACAGTCAGCTGCCATTTTATTGGCTATCCTGAAAGATCAAAAGGCTATCGTTTCTACTGTCCAAACAGTTATACAAAGTTTGTAGAAACGAGACACGCCGTCTTCTTGGAAGACGAAATGATTAGGGGGAGCTCGGTAGTTCGAGAAATTGATCTTGAGGAGAGGCGGGTGTCTGTACCCGCTCCGTCGACTCAGGAACCTTTCTTCTCTCTACCTGCTGATGTTGTGCCTGCAATGCCTGTCATTGAGGTACCAGCACCTGTTGTTACCCTTCCTGTGGCAACAATGAATGAGAGTGAGGAACCTGTTATACAGGATTCAACAGAAATGGTTGCCACACCAGAGGAGGAGCTACAACAGTCTCAAATAGATAATGTGCCAGTACAGGAGACTCATCAAGAGCCTCAGGTACAGGATGTGCCAAATGTGCAGGCCCCTAGAAGGTCTGAAAGAGTCAGAAGATCGGCTATCCGTGATGACTATAAAGTTTATAATATAGAAGAGTCGCATATGGAGGATGATCCCACCTCATATGAAGAGGCCATGAGAAGCGCTCGCTCATCTGAATGGTTGGAATCCATGAAAGATGAAATGGAATCAATGAAACTAAACGATGTTTGGGATTTAGAAGAAATTCCTAAAGGAGCCAAAACAGTAGGCTGTAAATGGGTCTACAAAACCAAATATGACTCCAGAGGGAATATAGAAAAGTTTAAAGCGCGACTTGTGGCAAAAGGCTTCACACAACGAGAAGGGATTGATTACAATGAGACATTTTCTCCAGTCTCTTGTAAAGATTCCTTCAGGATTATAATGGCACTAGTGGCACATTATGATTTGGAATTACATCAGATGGATGTAAAAACGGCATTTCTAAATGGAGATTTGGAGGAAAAAGTATACATGGCGCAACCGAAAGGTTTTGTCATGAAAGGAAACGAAAATATGGGATGTCGTCTAAAGAGATCCATTTATGGATTAAAGCAAGCTTCGAGACAGTGGTACTTGAAGTTTGATGGGACAATAAAGAAATTTGGGTTTCAAGAGAATGTCGAGGACAACTGTATTTATTCAAAGTTTAAAAATGGGAGATTTATTTTCCTAATTCTGTATGTGGATGACATTCTACTGGCTAGTAGTGATGTCAGTCTACTGCAGGAAACAAAGAAATTCTTGTCCTCAAACTTTGACATGAAAGACCTCGGTGAGGCTTCATATGTTTTGGGCATAGAGATTCACCGAGATAGAACAAAGTATGCATTGGGACTTTCTCAAAAGACATATATAGAAAAGGTGTTGAAGAAATTCAACATGTACAGATGCAGTGCTACACCTGCTCCTATAATGAAAGGCGAAAAGTATGGGGCATCGCAATGTCCCAGAAATCAGTATGAGCTCAATGAAATGAAAACAAAGCCATATGCGTCAGCTGTAGGAAGCCTACAGTACGCGCAAGTGTGCACACGACCTGACTTGGCATTTGTTACCGGGTTACTTGGCAGATTTCAGAGTAATCCAGGCCTAGAGCACTGGAAATTGGTAAAGAAAGTCTTGCGTTATTTGCAAGGAACAAAAGGCCTCATGCTGTCTTACAGAAGATCAGAATCACTCCAGATAGTGGGGTACTCAGATTCTGACTTTGCAAAAGATAATACAAAGTCAACATCGGGATATGTGTTTACCCTGGCAGGAGGAGCTATTTCATGGAAAAGCTCAAAACAGACTATCACTGCAGGGTCTACTATGTATGCCGAGTTTATAGCATGCTATGAGGCAACGGGGCAGGTGAACTGGCTAAAGAAGTTCATACCCGGTTTAAAGGTGGTTGACAGTATTGAGAAACCACTAAAGTTATACTGCGACAACGAACCCGCAGTAATGTACGCTCACAACAATCAGTCAAGTGGTGCTGCCAAACACATTGACATAAAGTACTATGTTGTGAAGGACAAAGTCCGGGATCAAACAATCAGTCTCGAGCACATTAAAACAGAAAGGATGCTCGCGGATCCGCTCACGAAAGGCCTACCACCCAACGTGTTCAAGGAACATGTAGCCGGCATGGGTTTAAGGGAAGCCTTATGAATCCTGGACTACAGGGCCCAAAAGTAAAGTATCTGTTTCTGAATAGAGATGTGTATAGTGGCTGTCGAATCCATCGGTGATTGACCGTGACGATGAAACATGCTCTATTTACAAATCTGTGATGGAATAGAAAAAGCTAAAAGAAAAAGTGAGATCAAGGGGGAGAATGTTAGATAGATCTCTCTCCCCTTGAGCCCAACGGCTCAAGGGGGCCTTGACCGCGCCCTGATCGGGGGCGCCCAGCCCAATGGCTGGTGGGCCCCCGTCACACTGCGCCATAATAAAAGAGGGGTGGAGGCCGGCACGGCACAAGGTTCGAGATTCACCGCCGCCGCCAACTCCACCCTACAAACCCTAATCCGATCAAGAGGGGGCGCAGCCAGTGACGGGAAGCGCCACCGCCGCGCCACACCTCATCGCCGGGACATCTACAACCGTCACTCCCGCAGCCGTCATCGTCGTCGACCTCACCGGCGCCGCATCCACGACAACCGAGCGCCAACGGAGACGATGGCCGGCACTTCTTCATCCTCCAACACCTCAACCGGTCGGTCTATCTAAACCCTCTCCCGTTTTCAATCTCTATAGTTCAAACCTCAATCCCAAATAGAACCACCCGACTAGATCTAACCTAGGTGATCCTAGTGCAAAGTATAACACCCACCTCCTTCCGCGATGCTCCTTCTTCCGCTACTACTCTCGCGACGACGTCTCGAGGTCAGCGTCCAACTACTCCTCATTTTGGTTTGGGTGGTGTGGAAAGGAGGTTGATGTGTGGGTGGTGGTGGTGGTGTGCCCTGTGTAGGTACATGATGCTGAGCACGCTGGTGAACTGGGGGGGTGAGCATCGTGCTGGAGAAGAAGACGTTCTTGGTGGAGCGGTTCGACAAGTACGTCAAGACGCTCGGATCCGGGATCCACGTGCTCGCCCCCCTCGTCGACCACATCGCGTACGTCCACTCACTCAAGGAGGAGGCCATCCCCATCCCCGACCAGTCCGCCATCACCAAGGACAACATCTCCATCCAGATCGACGGTGTCCTCTACGTCAAGGTTATAACTCGCTCCTTGCCTTAAGCCGTTTCTGCTTTGCTGCATTGCCGATTACTGCTGGTGGTGGATGCAATGAGTTGTGTTGTGCGCGATCGAGCTTGCAATTTTGGGCGGCTCATCTGGTGTGCTTGGTTTAGTGTCGGTAGCGTCCCTGAGGCTTGTGGGTTGGGTTGTGGCTGTACCCTATTTTTGCTTGGTGGTGTTGGCGCCGGCAGTAACTGCTTTGTTGTTTCTTCGGCTAACTAAGTTGGTCCCTTTTTTTCTTTTTCAGAGGTAACTGAAAGATGTTGATTTACAGTAATGGGGGTGACTAAATTGTTTTTCGAAATTAAACGCTGTCTAAATTGTTTTTGTTAGAATTTTTGGGGAAACTTCAAATTGCATGTTCTAGGTAATTCAATTACCCTAAAACAATTTTGTGGAAGCACATCGAAATTCTTTTATTAATAAATTGTCATTCCTGGTCCTTATGGTCATCCATTTTGCTAAGGTGGAGCTATAAGTGTGTCACAATGTACTGCATTTGATCTGCATTTCTGATTGCTGCTCTGTTTATTTGATAACTTTGCATGATTGCTGATATGTTCCTGTTTTTACTTACAGTGCCAGCAATTTGCCTCCCTCATCAGGGCCACATCTACATGTGGAGTTCATCTCCCATAAAAGAGGATGCACATAGTATACCTCACACATGAACTCTGTAATAAGCTATGGTGATCTTTATATGCTTCACCAACTGGTGACCAATGGGCTCTTTTCTGAGAAAATAGCCCAGTTTCCTCTTAATTTTGTTAATTCTGCACCTTGGTGCTCGTGAAGTAAGAGCACTAAGTTCAGATGGTATGTGACAGTCCATAGTTATGGTTGGTATTTGTGTGGTACATTTGACAATCTGTGATCATTTGCTATGATTCTTTTGACGGTTTTCTACAGATGAAGCACTTCTTGCTTTCAAGAAGGCAGTTACAACTTCTGATGGGATATTCCTCAACTGGCGTGAACAAGATGTGGATCCTTGCAATTGGAAGGATGTTAGATGTGACAGTCACACCAAGAGAGTAATTTATCTGTAAGACCAAAATAAACCCTACATAAATATTGTGAAATATTTGTTTTTCCCTTTTTAAACCCGCCTCTATTGCTGTTCTGTCTTTCAACAGCTCAAGGCAAGGAGAGGCAGTGTCTCATGGGAATCAGGGGTAAGGGTAAGCCACCGTGCCAAAGATTATTCAATTTGAGAGAGAATACATATACCTTGCACCTGTACACTTGAGATATATAGCATAGTAGCAACTCTTGATCAACAACCAAGTTTTTGTTTCCTTTCGTCTTTTACTCGGGATGAGTAAAGGTTCAAGCTTGGGGGGTTTTGTTGACGGTCGTTAGCAAACAGTTTCGACCGCCAATACTATCAAAATAAAGAAGAACAAGTTATGCTTGCAATGCATATTTGTGTTAGAATAATAAATATTCCACTAGTTATAGGATTACTAACCTCTTGAAGAGAATGATCATAAAATAGAAGAGAATCGACATCGAAATAGACGATCAATCAATCGGATGATGTCGAGAATCAGACTTATCAATGAACGGACCAAGAACTCAGAAATGACACGACCAATTGGGCCAAAGTTCACAAGTCCGAAGAGAGAAGAAGTTCAGGAGGCCACCTGCCAAGTTGTGGGTTGGTTGGGCCAGCCAAGGGTTCGGCCGAACCAGTGCCAACTCCGTTGGATCCAGGGCTTTGAGGGAATGGTGGAGATTCACTCCCTATGGCGGTTGGAGGGTATTACCGACCTTTCCAACCGCCATAACCGTCATTACCTACCTATTTAAGGCCATCACTCTCTCCATTTCAACACACACTTCAAGCAAAGCTCTCTCATACTGTCTCAACTATAGTTTAGTATGCTCAAGCTACTGGAGTAAGAATAGAATCATCAATTAATAAAACCCCTAGTGCTACCGATTTTCTCATTTTTTTGAATTTTTTTTGGTTCCTCGGTACTAGTGACACGCTGTCCTTTGTGCAACAGTGCTTCTCGATTGGCCCATCAGAACTGGTAGCACGTGGTTCGAAGGTCAGCTACTACTCCCCATTCGCCTGTGCGCTTCGTGCAGCAAGCCGGTTCCGGTTGTTGTCTTTTCTTGCTTTTTTTAAGACAGCTATGGCCATGCATGCCTGCCACCATTCATCCTTAACCTCTCTGTCTCTCACCTCCCCATCCTTATCTCACTTCTCTCCTCTCTCTCTCACAGGAGAAAATTGTGATTTTGCTATCGCAAAAGGATGGTTTCGTTGAAATGCTATCCTTTCAAAGTGATTCATTAAAATGCTATCATAAACTAACGGGTGTTCACTGAAATGCTATTTAAGGTCTTTTGGGTTAATACTAATGTTTTTGCTCTATATTGTTGTGTCTTGTGACCAAATTACCCCTGCCTCTCTATCAGCAGCACAGCCACACGCTAGAGCTAAGCAGCGAACACCTTGCAGGTATGGCTATCCACGCGCGCAGGGGGGCACCTGGAAGCAGGCGGCGTCGACGATGCCGAAGGCGGCGACGGCGACCCAGGCGGCCCAGCCGGAAGGCTGCCTCTTGCCGCGCGAGGCGGCGAAGGCGACGAGCAGTGTGCCGGCGGGGAGGAGGCGAAGCTCGGCGACGAAGAAGGGGCCCGTCTTGGCTATGACCCCCTTCATGGCCACCATGGCCGTGCCCCAGAAGAAGAAGGGCGACACCAGCGACGCCCACTCCCACCACTCCCTCCCCACGAATGCCGCCGAGGCCGAGACGCCATCCTCCTCCTCGGAGACCCGCGCGAGGCCTTCGACGAAGCACTCGACGTCCGTGCCCGTGCCGACGCAGTCAACCGCGTCCGGCGGGGAGGGCGGCATCGCCTCGCGGCGGAAGGGTTCCGCACCTGGGCGGTCGTCGACGTAGCACTCAACGTCGGCGGCCCGTGCCGACGCAGTCAACCGCGTCACCGGGTTAGGCGGCGTGTGGCGGGGCGCGGCCGCCGCCGCGAGCCGCCGCGAGATGTCGCACGCCACGGCCACCGCGCGGGACGGAGTAGACAGTGGAGGGCGGGAGGATGGAGTACGGCGGGGCGGGGCAAGACGGAGTACGGCGGCGCGGGAGTACGGCGGGGCGGGGCGGCGCTGACTGAGGGCGGCGGCGGACGCGAATGGAGGCAGCGGCGCGAGTGGACTGGGTGAGGAGGGAGGGGAGGAGCAGGTGGGGGAGTGGCGGGGGCCGGTGCCTGCGCCTGCGCCGAAGCCAATCGCCGTTGCCGATGCCGCTCCCAGGCTCCTCAGTCAGCGCTGACAGGAAGACGCTGGATAAGATCGATCTGGTAAAACAGATAAAGAGACAACGGTATTTTGGTCAGAACAAAAATTAAAATAGAGCAAAATCATTTCTAGCAACCAAAAAGACCTAAAATAGCATTTCAGTGAACACCCCTTAGTTTAGGATAGCATTTTAATGAATCACTTTGAAGGGATAGCATTTCAGCGAAACCATCGTTTTGCGATAGCAAAACCACAATTTTCTCCTCTCACAGTAGCGTGCACGTCTCCGTAGAGGGCGATGTGCTCGGGCCAGCAAGCGGCGGGCGATGGCGGGCGGCGGCGTTGAAAGCGGATGGCGAGTGCGCGGATCCACCGCCCCCTCCCGGCCTCGCACGGATCCACCGCTGCTGACCTCGGGAGCGGTGGCGGCGGCAACAGCGGGTGGATCCGCCGCCTCTGACCTCTGGAGCAGCGGCGGCGTACGGATCCACCGCCCCTGACCTCAGAAGCAGCAGACGGTGGCAGTGGGGAAGGACAGATCCGGCATTCGGTTCCGGCCGAGCCTCCGACGTGCCCCCTCCCTTTCCTTGTTGCGGCAGTGGCAGGGGCGGAGCCAGCTGCATGACCGCTGCTCATCGGAGCCGTGTTCTTCCCCCTTCTTCTCCCCCCTATGGCGGCAAAGGGGCCTGCGGCCAAGCTGGCTCCGGCGGCGCAGAAGCGCAGCGGCTACGTGACTAGCGTAGGTGTCCCCCTCCCCCCTTCTCCCACCTGTGGCTACGTCTGGGTCGGTGGCGGCTTCGGAACCGGCGCCAGCGTTCCCTTCCTCCTCTCCCCTCACGGTGGTGTCGTGGCCGATGACGATGTTGCAGTCGGTGCCTGTGTCCCCCTCCCTTGATTCTACCTCCCCTCCCTGTTGTTTCTCTCCCTCTTCTTGTGCTCGCCATCGCCAGAGACGGCGAAGGCCTCATCTTCGGTGCCGCGGAAGAACTCGATGCGGGAGGTGACTCCAACACAACCCACATGATTGGATGCCGGTAGGACAATAAAGAATCGAAGGTGGTGTTCTTGTGGTTGGATCGGAGTTCGGGCACTGGCCGCCGGGGGCGGCGGCGGCGGACGGGATGCTTTGGTAGACGGAGCTGAGGCCACACGTGGCGGGGGATTTCTTCAAGTACTTGCCATTTAGTGCTCGTCCATAAACTTCTCCATCGAGTCCTTGCAACATGTAAGCTCCCTTAGACACAACCTTATAGATTTGGAACGGTCCTTCCCAATTTGGTGACCACTTGCCGAATTTGTTATCCCGAGTCCCAATCGGTAAAATCAACTTCCATACAAATTCACCTTCCGAAAAAGTCTTGGGCACCACTTTCTTGTTGTAATGTCGAGCAACTCGTTCCTTATCCTTGGTAACTTTTGCAAGGGCTCTTAATCTAGATTGAACCAAGTCTTCCCCCTCATCGGCCATGAGATTATAATACTCATCGGCTGTCAAATCATTTTGCAACTCCGTTCTCCTTGAGCCGATTATAACTTCCCATGGCAAAACAGCCTTATGTCCATAAACAAGCTTATAAGGAGGGACTTGGATCGATGCATGACAAGCCATCCGATAAGACCACAATGCTTCGGCCAATCGAGTATGCCACTGCCGAGGATAATCAGAAATCTTCCTCTTAATCAATTTGATCAAACTCTTGTTAGATGCCTTAGCCTGCCCATTAGCTTGTGCATAATATGGTGAAGAATTCAACAATTTGATACCCATGCTATCGACAAACTGAACAAACTCATCGGACACGAAGATTGAACCTTGATCGGTCGTAATGGTTTGAGGAATACCATATCGATAGATTATATGCTCTTGAACAAAATGTATAGCATCCCCAGAATCAACTTTCTTCAAAGGAATCGTCTCTACCCACTTGGTAAAGTAATCGGTTGCCACCAATATAAACTTATGCCCTTTACTCGATGGTGGATTAATCATACTGATTATATCAATTCCCCAACCTCTAAATGACCATGGTTTAATGATAGGATTCATAGCCGATGCCGGTGCTCTCTGTATCGCTCCAAATTTCTGACAATCTTGACATCCCTTGTAATACTTGAAACAATCTTCCAGCATTGTCGGCCAAAAATACCCCGCACGTCGAAGCAACCACTTCATCTTATGAGCCGATTGATGAATACCACAAATTCCTTCGTGAACCTCACCGATTGCAACCTTAGCTTGATCGGCACTCAAGCACTTAAACAACACCCCATCAATCGTCCGATAATAGAGCTCATCATCCAACAAAGTATACTTCAACACTTTGTAACGCAATTTCCGAGAAGCCGATTGAGATGGATTCTGTAAATATTGATGTACATCATATCTCCAATCATCAGTTGTTAATGCAGCAACTTCAACCCTAACATCTTTGATCATCGGCTTATACCCCGATGCCCCTTGGGCCAAATCATTAGCTTCAATATTTTGCCTCTCGAGAGACATGCCTCAAAGTAACCAGCCGAAATTCCTTCATTAGCTCTTGGCACTTCTCATTATAAACCATTAATGTATCATTCTTGCACTCATATTCTCCTACCAATTGACTGATCACTAGCAAAGAATCCCCCATAATTTCAATAGCATTGGCTTCAACTTCCTTGAGTAACTGCAACCCTTTGAGAACCGCTTCATACTCAGCCTGATTATTAGTTGCATAAGGTTTAATAGTGTAAGCAAACTCAAAACTTGCCCCCCGAGGGGAAATTATAACCAAGCCGATGCCACAACCATGAGTGCATATTGATCCATCAAAGAACAAAGTCCATGGCACGACTTCAACCGAGCCGATTGAATCATCACGATATTCAACAATAAAATCGGCTATAGCTTGTCCTTTGACTGCCTTCGGTGACTCATACCGAAGATCAAACTCCGTTAAGGAAAATATGCACTTTCCAACCCTTCCTTTCAAAATTGGAGCCGACAACATGTACTTGACAACATCGGCTTTGCATATGATAGTGCATTCGTTGGAGAATAGATAATGCCTTAACCTTGTACACGAAAAATATAAGCACAAGCACAACTTCTCCACAGGGGAATATCTTGTTTCCGCATCCAAGAGCCGACGACTTAGATAGAACACAACCCTTTCCTTTCCTTCCAGCTCCTGAATTAAGACCGAGCCGATCGACTTCTCACCGGCTA